GTGACACACAGGCAGGCAAGTGACACACAGGCAGGCAAGTGACACACAGGCAGGCAAGTGACACACAGGCAGGCAAGTGACACACAGGCAGGCAAGTGACACACAGGCAGGCAAGTGACACACAGGCAGGCAAGTGACACACAGGCAGGCAAGTGACACACAGGCAGGCAAGTGACACACAGGCAGGCAAGTGACACACAGGCAGGCAAGTGACACACAGGCAGGCAAGTGACACACAGGCAGGCAAGTGACACACAGGCAGGCAAGTGACACACAGGCAGGCAAGTGACACACAGGCAGGCAAGTGACACACAGGCAGGCAAGTGACACACAGGCAGGCAAGTGACACACAGGCAGGCAAGTGACACACAGGCAGGCAAGTGACACACAGGCAGGCAAGTGACACACAGGCAGGCAAGTGACACACAGGCAGGCAAGTGACACACAGGCAGGCAAGTGACACACAGGCAGGCAAGTGACACACAGGCAGGCAAGTGACACACAGGCAGGCAAGTGACACACAGGCAGGCAAGTGACACACAGGCAGGCAAGTGACACACAGGCAGGCAAGTGACACACAGGCAGGCAAGTGACACACAGGCAGGCAAGTGACACACAGGCAGGCAAGTGACACACAGGCAGGCAAGTGACACACAGGCAGGCAAGTGACACACAGGCAGGCAAGTGACACACAGGCAGGCAAGTGACACACAGGCAGGCAAGTGACACACAGGCAGGCAAGTGACACACAGGCAGGCAAGTGACACACAGGCAGGCAAGTGACACACAGGCAGGCAAGTGACACACAGGCAGGCAAGTGACACACAGGCAGGCAAGTGACACACAGGCAGGCAAGTGACACACAGGCAGGCAAGTGACACACAGGCAGGCAAGTGACACACAGGCAGGCAAGTGACACACAGGCAGGCAAGTGACACACAGGCAGGCAAGTGACACACAGGCAGGCAAGTGACACACAGGCAGGCAAGTGACACACAGGCAGGCAAGTGACACACAGGCAGGCAAGTGACACACAGGCAGGCAAGTGACACACAGGCAGGCAAGTGACACACAGGCAGGCAAGTGACACACAGGCAGGCAAGTGACACACAGGCAGGCAAGTGACACACAGGCAGGCAAGTGACACACAGGCAGGCAAGTGACACACAGGCAGGCAAGTGACACACAGGCAGGCAAGTGACACACAGGCAGGCAAGTGACACACAGGCAGGCAAGTGACACACAGGCAGGCAAGTGACACACAGGCAGGCAAGTGACACACAGGCAGGCAAGTGACACACAGGCAGGCAAGTGACACACAGGCAGGCAAGTGACACACAGGCAGGCAAGTGACACACAGGCAGGCAAGTGACACACAGGCAGGCAACACTGACCGCAACCCTGAGCTGGCTGAGGCCGCCCTTGGCTGCCACTGAGAAGAATGGACCCGCATCCTCCCTCTCTGCAGCAGCAGCGGCAGGAGGGGGACGAGCGGGATGGGCGAGTGCGCACGGGCGCCACTGCTGCGCCTCTGCGGGCTCCTCAAACAGGTCGGGTGGCTCGCGCTGCCACTGCTTCTGATGGGGGGAATGGGGGTTAATGGGAGAAAGGGGGAAACGGAGGGAGTGAGGGGCGAAGAAGGGGAGTGTTCGTTTCCATTGCTGCGCCTCTGGAGGCTCCTCCCACAGGTCGGGTGGCTCGCGCTGCCACTGCCTCTGATGGGGGGGAAGGGAGGGAGGGAGGGAGGGAGGGCGGGAGGGCAGGTGATTCTGAATACGAGCACTTTGACTGTCATTGCTGCGCCTCTGCGGGCTTCTCCCAAAGGTTGGGTGGCTCGCGCTGCCACTGCTTCTGGACGTGAGAAAGGGACGGAAAGAGGGATGACAAGGGGGGATGTCCGGCGTGAGAGAGGGAGGCGACGAGGAGACTTGAGTGGGGGTAATGATCGATACTGGAAAAATCCCTTGCTCCTCTGGCTGCCTAGTGTTGAGGCGCCTCAAAACTAGAAAACCTGGCTCCTCTGGCTGCCATTGCTTCTGCATGCATGTGGTGGTGGCACTGGCAGGCAACGATCGGGGGCAAGGGAGGTTTGGCGAGTTGGCGGGTTGGCGAGTTGGAGAGGAGGATAGGGGAGAGGGGGGAGAGGGGAGAGAGGGGGGAGAAGGGGGAGAGGGGGACGGCTAGGCTGCACTCACCGCCACGTGATGCGACGATTTTTGAGTTGACTCAAAAATGCACTCACCGCCACCACCAGCTCAGCTCCCCCTCCCCACCTCCCCGCACACTTTTGAAATGCCTCATAAAACAGTATTTTCTTTACCTCCTCTCCCCACTCTTACCCCCCCTCCCACCTCCCCTCACCACACACTCACAGCCACCAGAGATTGCGCCGCGAGGCCCAGCAGCCTGCCGCGCATCGGCGCTGCGCGATTGCCACTGCTGCGCCTCTGGTGGCTTCCCCCCTATTTCCCAACCCACCCCCCCCCCCCTGCTCACACTCACCGCCACCAGCGATTGCGCCGCGAGGCCCAGCAGCCTGCCTCGTATGGGCGTCGCGCGGTTCCCCTCATCCAGCCGCAGCGACGGGTACAGTGACGTCGGATGACGTAAGCTTTCCTCAGCTCCCCATCTTTCTCCCCTCCTCCTCAGTTGTTCCCCTCCTATCGTGCTTGCAGCAGCGCGCGCGCGATCGTCACCGATCTCCACCACGAACTCTACATCCCAGAGACTGACTAGCGCCGCGGCTAGCAGCAGCAGTGCTAGCAGCGGGTGCGGCCTCCGCCAGGAGAAGCGGGGGGAGCGCGGGAAGCGGGGGAGGAAGGGGAAGAGCGCGACGGCTCGTCGCCGATCGAAGGAAGCCTGTCGTGAGAGAGACGACTTGACGGGCGTGAAAGAGGATGCCCAATATTGCAGCCAGAACCGCAGCGACGATCGCAGCCGTCGGAGGATCCTGTTGCAGCGGAGAACGCGGGGAGGGGGGAGGATGGAGCCGGCAGAGAGGGGTCGCGGAATGCCGGCCGCTGATCGCGGGTAGGAGGACTGAGCAGACACGCTTCGACGGACGCTGCTAGGGAGCAAGCCGAGGAGGACGGAAGCGAGGGAATCGCGCTCAGTGGTGAAAACGGAGTGTCCCATATGGAGGACGGAAAGGACGGACGTTGGAGCGAGCGTGTCTCATGCGATGCTGCTGCTCCTTGCTAATGGATTTGTAGTTGGTTAGGGGGTATCCGGGTCGTACATTTACAGTTCATGCTTCGTGGCTCGGAACGGTTCCACAGGGTCATTAGCGGGATTTTTCGTTCATAAGATAGCTAAGAACGTCCAGGAAAAGAACGGGCTGGAAAGGTACGTTTATAATGGACGGCACGGTATGCTGGACACTACTGGTCCACGTGTTTTGGTAAAATTATTTCATGATATGGACAGCCTCGGTTTAGCGTCCTGATTCGGCCTGCATTCATTCTTGTGTGTTTTAGGGAAATGTTATTATCTTGTTTTTGTATGAGTCGTGGCAAACGACTGATGAGTGTAGCAGTATGAGTGTCACCATACCGAATCGCACTAAAACACACGGAACCATGCCATAACACACACACCACACCACAGCATCATCCTTCCAGGTCAAGACCACACGCCTGCCTGCTGGTGACCAACCATTCCCAAGGTCCAAGCCAATCCCCCACCAGCCAATCACCGCAAAGAAGCGCCACAACCCAATCCCAAGGCGCCCCCACCCCACAGCTTCCTCCTCTGCTTTCTTCTCACCCATTCCCCCCCCTCCCTTGTCCGCATTTCGCGCCGTCCTCGCTGCTCGGCGTTACGTCGAGGGAGGAAAGGGGCGCACCTCGCTGACGCTGCGCGCCGAGCCTCGCGCTGCTTGCCTCGGTTCGGACCTAACTCTGCTTTCACACTCCCGGGTGATTCTTGGCCCGACTATCGAAATCACTGACGAGGCTCGCACACTCGCGCGTTCATGGGAACTTGCTGCTGAGAAATTCGTAGTTAGAGCTACCCGCCGTCATCCGCATCTGTAGTCTGTAGGAGCCTGCGCCGTCGCGGCTCGTACCATCATGGACAGGTGCGCGGCCAGCCACAGTTTACGTGCGACCCAACTCCCGTCCCTGACTCCTTCGCAGCACCCCACTACCTCGACCGTCCGCCAGGCGTCCTCTCGCAATGCCGTTTCGAATCCTCAACGACTCGTCGGCGCTGCGTTGGGTGTCCGACCGAGCGCGATCGGCGGCGTTATTCCCGCGACCGTGCCGCGTAAGCAGGAGCAGGTTCGAGGGAATCTAAGATTCCGGATTTCATCGTCGCCGATCGTTATCAGGCCATGCCACGCTGGCAACTCTTTCACGTGGACGCGGTCGTGTCCGTCTGATAATTCTGTGCCACGTGGCGTGCGCGGTGCGGGCATTGGAGTGAGATCGACGAGGTTTAGGGTACGGTGTAGCGCGTCTGAGTCAGCAAGCCCCGTACACGTGGATCAGGCAGGAAATTTGAGCGGTGTGGATATTGAGCGGAAAAACAGCATCAGCAGCCAGAATGTGGAAGGTTCGTCGGAAGCATCATTCCCTCTGTCCGGCGTATTGCTAGCTGCCACGTGTATGGCGATGGTTAGTGCACAGCTGGCGGCGTCGCTGCCAGCTCATGCCGCTTCCGCGGTGTTGAAAGCCCCGTCAAAAACGGCAGCAGCAGCTCCGGCTGTAGCACCGGCTGCAGCACCTGCTGCAGCACCACCAGCAGCACCGATAGCGCCGTCTGCAGAAAGCGGTTCAGACGCAGCAGCATCCGCGGCTAACGCGACGGCAGCAGCCTCTGAGCTCGCAGGCGCGGAAGCAACAAAGACTGCAGCTGCTGCAGCGGAAGGCGCAGCGGCAGGCGGGGGAACAGCCGCGGCGGCAGGCGCAGCGGCGGGCGCAGGCGGAGCAGCGGTGGGGGGGAAGCGCAAGGGGAAGAAGTCCGGGCGGGAGCGCAAGGGGGGGCGGGAGGCGGCGACGATGGAGGTGGAGGAGCGCGAGGCGTGGGCGCGCGGGCTTCCCGTGGTGCAGGAGCGCGTGCCGTACTCGCAGGTGGTGGCGCTGAAGAAGGCGAACGAGCTTAAACACATCATCAAACACCCGCAGTCAGCGCTCCAGGTGAGTCGATCGCTCCGCTCTTGGCACGTGGCACGCACGTGGCACGCGGGCTGCCCGTGGTGCAGCAGCGCGTGACGTGACGGCGCTGAAGAAAGCGAACGTGCTGAAACACATCAGCAAGCACCCCCAGTCGTCGCTCCAGGTGAGTGGGGTAATGAAGCGCGCCGATGAGGTGAGCGCGATAATGAAGAGCCTAGTGCAGCGTTGCTCCTCTGCGTGGGCCGCCCTGCCCGTGGCGCAGCAGCGAGTGCCATACTCACAAGACATGGTCGGCTGCATGCTCTCCAAGACATGTAGACTCGCTTCGCCTAATGCACCCTCACTTTCTGCCGTCCTCCCACTCCCCACCCCCTTCCTTCTTCCTTTTACCCAGTCGGACCCCGAGCGAGTGTTCCTAGTGCTCAATGACGACCGTGTGGTGCGCTGCATGCTGCTGCTGCATGGGGGCACCCAAAATACCACCTTTTCCCCCACCCACCCCCATTCCACCCCACACCCTCTCCCGCTCCTTCTTCCTTCCTTCTTCTTAGGCGGACCCAGAGCGGGTGTTCCTAATGCTAAAGGACGACCGACCGAGTGGTGCGCTGCATGCTGCCGCCCCTAGACCGTGACCCCTCCTTCCCTACCTTCCCCTCCTGTCCCAATTTCCCCCCGTGTCTCCCTATCCGCCCAATGCCCCTCTTTCCAGTCGGGGCCCGAGCGAGTGTTTCTTGTTCTCAAGGACGACCGCGTGGTGTGCTGCGTGCTGCATGCTCGCATCCCAGCTAACCTCTCCCCCTTCCCTCCGTCTTCTCGCCCTTCCCAGGCGGAGCCTGAGCGCGTGTTTCTAGTCCTCAAGGACGACCGAGTGGTGCGCTGCATGCTGCCGCGGCCCCTCGTCCCCTCCCTTCCCCTCCTGTCCCCATTCCTCCCCGTGTCTCCCTATCCGCCCAATGCCCCCCTCCCCAGGCGGAACCTGAGCGAGTGTTCCTAGTGCTAAAGGACGACCGCGTGGTGCGCTGCATGCTGCCGCCCCTGGACCGCGACCCGGCCTTCTGGACGGCATGGAAGGATCTCAGCCTAGATTCGCTCACCGTCAACGCCTTCTCACCGCCACCCGCACCGCCCCTCATGCAGCCCTGGGGGCTCTGGGGTCCTTCCTTGAGGTTTCTACGGGACTGGGGGTGGGTGGGCGGAGGGGAGGGGCGGCGGGAGGGGGTTGCGGGGAAGGGGAAGGGGGGAGCGGAGGGGGCGGGGGAGAGTGCGGGGAAGGGGAAGGGGAAGGGGAAGGAGAAGGTTCTTACTGCAAAGCAGAGAGCGGAAGCTGCTTTGAAGGAGAGGGTGAGGAGACTTGCTGAGGAGAGGAAGGAGACGGAGAGGAGGAGGGTGGAGAAGGAAAGAGAGTTGAAGAGGCAGAGAGAGGAGAGGATTCGGATGGAGAGGGAGGAGAGGAGGAGGGCTGAGAGGGAGGAGAGGGAGCAGCAGCAGCAGCAGCAGGAGGAGCAGGAGCAGAGGCAGGGAGGGGTGCGAGGAAAGAAAAAGGGAGCAGCGGAGAAAAATGTTGAGGAGAGGAGAAAGAAGATTGTGGCGCAGGTGGCCCAGCAGGAGCGTTGGGCGTCGTTCTACAAGCAGGCGGCTAATAACGAGGGCGTGCGGTTCCTGATCGGGGCGGCGTTTTTTGTCTTTTTCTACTTTGGCATTATTGTGAACGTGAAGAAGAAGCGCAAGGATTACGAGGATCGGATCAAGCTGGAGCGGGCGGCGGAAGAGGAGAGGAGGAAGATGGAGGGGTGGGAGGAGGATATGGAGGAGATGGAAGCGAGGGAGGAGGAGGAGGCGGAGAAGGAGAAAGAGAGGGAGAAGAAGGGAGGGAAGAAGGCTGGGGTGGTGGTCGCGGGGGAGAAGGGCGAGGGGAAGGGCGAGGGCGAGGGGGAGAAGGTGGAGGAGGAGAAGAATCAGGCGATTCTGGCTGGCATGCGGTTCATGCGGTCTGGGGCTAAAGTGCGGCGCGCTCGCAAGGGCAAGGTGAGGGGAAGCGACGGGATTGCTCTCATTTTCACTGATTCTTGCTCACCTCAAAAATACAGGGTTGAACTTGTTCTGCTCTGCATGCACCTCTGCGACCGGCATGAGGTTCATGCGGTCCGGGGCTAAAGTGCGGCGCGCTCGCAAGGGCAAGGTGAGGGGGGGGGAAGGGAAGGGGAAGGTCAGTTGAGCCGGTGTGGGGGGAGTAAGGGGGGAAGGGTCATCTTACTTGCTTGCTCTTTATTCTGGCTGGCATGCGGTTCACGTGGTCCGGGGCTAAAGTGCGGCGCGCACGCAAGGGCAAGGTGAGTGGAAGCAAAGAGAGTGTTTCCACATTATTCACCGACTCTTGCTTATCTTCAGTGTGCGCTTTCATCAGTGTGTGCTTGCATCACCAGCGCAAGCACCACTGCCACTGCTTCCATCACCATTCCCATCTCATCTCATCCACCTAATCCTTGCCCATCCCTTCGCCAGCGCATGCACGCGTCACCCCACCCCACCTACCTGGACCTGAGCGCCCAAGTGAAGTTCTCAGTTGAATTGCGCATGGCTCGGAGAGATTTTCCGCGAGATTGATCAAGTGGTGACATTCTTTTGAGACGTCTCAAAAGTTCCTGCGAGATGGAAGAAGCGGGGAAATTCTTCCAATTTCTCTGAACCCACTCAACAACTCCCTCCCAACCATTTCTTGGGCGTCCCCCTCCCCCTTCCATCCTTCCCCAAACCTCCTGTCTCTTCCAACACACACATCACCCTACCTACCTGGACCTGAGCGTGGAGGTGAGATTCTCCTCCGACGTAACAATCCGCCACTCGGAGAGATCCGGCGAGAACTGGCAGAGGTGGAGAGAAGGGTTTTTTTTTCCAATTTGCCGAGAAGCACCGCTGCCGTGCCACGGCTCCCTTCTCCCACCCTTCCTCTCTTAACCCCGACCCGACCCCCTCGTTCCGTCCCATCCCCTCCCATCCAAATCCCACCCCTCCCCATCCCGTTCCGATTCCCCCCCAGTGCACGAGACGTCCCACGTACCTGGACCTGAGCGCGGAGGTGAAATTCTCGGATGTAGCTGGGTTGGGTGAGGTCAGACGCGAGCTGGAGGAAGTGGAGGAAGTGGTGTGACCAGTCCGCGGCTCCAAGATCCCCTCTCTCCCTTCCTCCCTTCCCCCAAACCCCCTTGTTCCATCCCATCCTTGCCCATCCCAGCGCACGCGTCGCCCCACCTACCTGGACCTGAGCGCGGAGGTGAAGTTTTCGGATGTAGCTGGTCTAGGAGAGATCCGCCGAGAGTTGGAAGAAGTGGTGGAGTTCTTCCAGTCCGCTGAGAAGTACCGCCGCCGCGGCTCCACTGTCTCTCCCTCTCTCTCTCTTCCTCTCTTCCCCCAAACTCCCTTGTCGCGCCCCATCCTTGATCCCATCCCGTTCCTCTCCCTCTCCCAGCGCACGCGCCGGCCCACCTATTTGGACCTGAGTGCCGCGGTCAAATTCTCCGATGTGGCCGGGCTGGGTGAAATCAGGCACGAGCTGGAAGAAGTGGTGGAGTTCTTCCAGTCCGCTGAGAAGTACCGCCGCCGCGGCTCCAAGATCCCCTCTCTCTCTTACCACCCCTGACCAACCCCCTCCTTCCGTCCCATCTCCCCATCCCAGCGCACACGTCGCCCCACCTACCTAGATCTCAGTGCGGAGGTCAAGTTCTCAGATGTAGCAGGACTTGGTGAGATCAGGCGCGAGCTGGAGGAGGTGGTGGAGTTCTTCCAGTCAGCGGAGAAGTACCGCCGCCGCGGCTCCAAGATCCCCTCGGGCATCCTGCTGTGCGGCGAGCCGGGCAGCGGGAAGACGCTGCTGGCGAAGGCGGTGGCAGGGGAGGCGGGAGTGAGCTTCTTCTCGGTGTCGGCGAGTCAGTTCGTGGAGATCTTCGTGGGCGTGGGGGCCAGCAGGGTGCGCGCGCTGTACAATGAAGCAAGAGAAAATGCGCCCTCGGTGGTTTTTATTGACGAGCTGGATGCGGTGGGAAGGCAGAGGGGGCTGACTGAGGGCTCGGGCGGGCAAGAAAGGGACGCTACGCTAAATCAGGTAAGCTTGGGCATGCAGAGAGCATGCAAAAGGCATGCCAGGGGGTGTGTGTGCGTGTGACAGCGAGAGATGGAAAGCAGGGAGCAGGGTGCGCGCGCTGTACAATAAAGCGAGTGAGAATGCGCCCTCGGTGGTTTTCATTGACGAGCTGGACGCCTTGGGACGGCAGAGAGGGCTCACTGAGGGGTCTGGCGGGCAGGAGAGAGATGCCACGCTGAACCAGGTACGTGTGTGTATCAAATTGGGCATGGGGTTTTGTGCATGGAGGGGAGGAAGAGGAGGTGATGGATCAAACAGATCCCACTGTAGCACATTATGCCCATTGCCCAAGCAGAGTCGTGCAAAGCTCTGGCCTTATATTAGAGCCAGACAATTGTCGCCAATGCCCTGCGTTTTGTTTTTCTAGGCCAAAGCAGCATGGCTGGAAGAAGTCCAAGCAAGTCACTTCGAGGAGCCAATCTGCTTCTCTCATTTCTCATCTGTGACTGTCGTTGCCCAATTGAATCGTCTCCTCTCATTACCCACCGACATACTTCCTCCCTCCCATTCCAACAGCTGCTGACGTGTCTGGATGGCTTTGAGGGCAGAGGTGATGTCATTACCATAGCAGCCACCAATCGACCGGATATTTTGGACGCTGCCCTGGTGCGGCCGGGCAGGTTCGACCGAAAGATTTACATCCCCAAGCCTAGCCTCAAGGGGCGCGCTCAGATTCTTGAGGTGAGAGGCCTTGCTGCTTGCCGACCGATCTCTGTTGCTTTCTGTTGGTTTCACCTGAGGAAGGTCCTGGTTCGAAGGGGTGGTGCTGCTGGTAGTTGTGTTTGCGGTGATTTAGGCGGTGAGGACTCCTCACACAATGACGTTCTATTCATACAATCACATCCCCGTACGACCACACTCCTTACAATCACACCCTCCCCCTCGCAGGTGCACAGTCGCAACAAGGTACTGGATGAGCGACTCAAAGGTCACTGCATTCCTATAATCACCCTCCTTATAATCACACCCATCTCTCTCCGTCCGTCCGTGCAGGTGCACAGTCGCAACAAGGTGTTGGATGATGACGTGGACTTTGAGGCGGTGGCGCAGGTGACAGATGGCATGTCGGGCGCTGAGCTGGCGAACGTGGTTGACGTGGCGGCCCTCAGAGTGCTGCGGGAAAACCGATCCGAGGTGGGTGGTGACGTGCGGTGGGTGGTGACGTGCGGTGCGGTGATGTGCAATCATGTGCAATGATGTGCGTGCGGTGAGTGGTGATGTGCGTGCGGTGAGTGGTGATGTGCGTGCGGTGAGTGGTGATGTGTGTGCGGTGAGTGGTGATGTGCGGTCAGTGGTGCTGTGTGGTGGTGAGTGGTGATGTGAGATGGGGGTGATGTGCGGTGGGTGGTAATGGGAGGTGCAGCAAAACAGGGCTGGTCGCTTTTGCTTGCGATGCGACCAGGTCTGTGGCGTCTTTGCTTTGCAACTGCTCCCCAGTCCTTGTCTTCACCAGGCGAATGATGGATGGAAGGTAGAGCCGTCTCTGTTTCACGGTCAACCCCGCTCTCTGACAGACACAACAGATCACAACAGACAGACGACATTCTGGAAAAACAGGGTGGGTACACCCATTTTGAGTTCTTCCTTTCTGCTGCACACAACCCTACTGCCCTCTCCCCTCTTCCTCTTCATTCCATCCCTTCCCTCCTTTCCCGTTTCCCTCCCTTCCCGCCTCCCTGCCTGCTCCCTTGCAGGCTGGAGGGTGGCACCTGCCGAACTCACGTACCCTCCAAACTCCTCCACCCATCCCCGGACCTCACCCCCTCCCCCTATCCATTTCCCCCCATCCTCTCCCCCCTCCTCCCCCTCCCTCTCTTCTCCCCCTCCATCGCATCCCATCACATCAGATCACAACGGACGACATGCTCCAAGCGGCCATGCTGGAGGAGGGGGGGTACCCCTCGCCCCACGAGGGCAGTCCAATCAGGCAGCGCCAGCTGGCACTCAATGAGGCGGCGCTGGCCGTGGTGGCGTTCAACTTCCGCGACTTCCAGAACATCCAGCTGGTGGGTTGGTGAACATTCAGCTGGTGGGTTGGTGAACGTTCAGCTGGTGGGTTGGTGAACGTTCAGCTGGTGGGTTGGTGAACGTTCAGCTGGTGGGTTGGTGAACGTTCAGCTGGTGGGTTGGTGAACGTTCAGCTGGTGGGTTGGTGAACGTTCAGCTGGTGGGTTGGTGAACATTCAGCTGGTGGGTTGGTGAACATTCAGCTGGTGGGTTGGTGAACATTCGGCTGGTGGGTTGGTGAACATTCAGCTGATGGGTTGGTGAACATTCAGCTGGTGTGTTGAGGTGAATGTTCAGTTAACATTCATCTTGTGGATATTTAGTGAACGCTCTTTGAAAGATGGTTGAATGTTCAGCAAGCAACTCCGTGCAGAACACTGGGACGGATATAATCGGAACGTTGAACAGGTTCTTTCTGTTGTGGAATTTAATCTGGTGGGTGGATGAATGGGTATTTTAAGTGGGTGACAAAAGTTCACTTCGAATGGCATCAGCTTTCCAAGTCAAACCATGATCAACCCTCGCCCCCCTCTCGCTCTCTCCCTCTCTCTCTCTATTCCTCTCTTCCTCACTCATCCAGATCACGGTGGTGCCGCGAATGACGGAGGAGAAAGGTTCAGTGCGGTACAAGCTGGTGGACACGCAGAAGATGAAGGCCAACTTCATCTCCGCCTCGTGCCTTCGGGACTTCATCACCGTTCAGCTGGCGCCCATGGTGGCCGATGAGATGTGGAATGGGGCCGAGGAGGTGAGTGGTTTGCGTTGGCAGTACGTACATGCTGAACATAGCGCAGCACAGCATGCATCCCTTCGGGACTTCATCACCGTGCAGCTGGCGCCCATGGTGGCTGATGAGATGTGGAGCGGGGCCGAGGAGGTGAGTGAGTTGCAGTGGGATGTGTGTAGCAGTGGGGGGGGTGTGACAATAGCACCTGAGGGACTTCATCACTGTGCAGCTGGCGCCCATGGTGGCCGATGAGATGTGGAACGGGGCCAAGGAGGTGAGTGGCATGGGATGGGATAAGATAGTATACCAGATTAAAATATCAGGCACTCTCTGCTGGTGAGTGACCACATGGTAGCATAGCAGGCATCTGAGCGAGTGACCTCATCACGGTGCAGCTGGCGCCCATGGTAGCCTATGAGAGCTGTGAGTGCGGAGGAGGTGAGAGCGAGGAGGGTAGGAGGAGGGAAGTTGTAATAGTGAGATTGCAGGTGCATGGGGCAGAGGAGGTGGGTGATTTGTGTGGAGATTTGGATGGGCGTGAGTCAGATTGCAGACGCAAGGCCTTGCTCCCACTACCCAATCATTCCATCATCCCCACACCTGTCATCCTTATCCCCCTTGCGTCCTCCAACCAATCCCTATCCGCCAGACGTGCACCATCTGGGCGGACCACGCTGACGTGGCGCGCCGCACAGCGCGCCAGGTGGCACTCAACGGTTTGTCGGCGCCGAGTGAGGAGGGAGCGCTGTACGGCATCGGTGTGGCGGCGGTGGATGCACCGTGGCGCCGCGAGGCCGTTGATGCCGACGCCTCCCGCATCCTCGAGGAGTGCCGCACCCGCGCCGCTCAGGTGGGTGTTGTTAGTGGTGTGGCAGGGCAGCTCAGGTGGGTGTTGTTAGTGGTGTGGCAGGGCAGCTCAGGTGGGTGTTGTTAGTGGTGTGGCAGGGCAGCTCAGGTGGGTGTTGTTAGTGGTGTGGCAGGGCAGCTCAGGTGGGTGTTGTTAGTGGTGTGGCAGGGCAGCTCAGGTGGGTGTTGTTAGTGGTGTGGCAGGGCAGCTCAGGTGGGTGTTGTTAGTGGTGTGGCAGGGCAGCTCAGGTGGGTGTTGTTAGTGGTGTGGCAGGGCAGCTCAGGTGGGTGTTGTTAGTGGTGTGGCAGGGCAGCTCAGGTGGGTGTTGTTAGTGGTGTGGCAGGGCAGCTCAGGTGGGTGTTGTTAGTGGTGTGGCAGGGCAGCTCAGGTGGGTGTTGTTAGTGGTGTGGCAGGGCAGCTCAGGTGGGTGTTGTTAGTGGTGTGGCAGGGCAGCTCAGGTGGGTGTTGTTAGTGGTGTGGCAGGGCAGCTCAGGTGGGTGTTGTTAGTGGTGTGGCAGGGCAGCTCAGGTGGGTGTTGTTAGTGGTGTGGCAGGGCAGCTCAGGTGGGTGTTGTTAGTGGTGTGGCAGGGCAGCTCAGGTGGGTATGGGACCGTGCAGGTTGTGTGGGTGCGGTTAGTGGTGTGGTTGGTGGTGCGAGTAATTGGTGCTAAACGGGTGCATGCAATGCCGATCAGCCCAGATGGGGTGAGCCAGACAGACCCCATCTGGGCTGATCGGCATTGCATGCCCATTGCATGCCCATGGCGCCGTGAGGGCATGGAGGAGTGCCTCCAGCATTCTAGAGGAGTGCCGCACCCGGGCTGGTCAGATGGGCATGGTTAGAGGTGTGGCAGGGCTCAAGTGGATATGGGACCTTTTCTCGCTCCTCTCTCCATCCCTCTCCCTTCTAAGAGTTTGCCAGCCCCACACCCCCACTACTCCATTCCCACAACCCCCCCCTTCCCCCCTCTCCTCAGCTCATATCCTGCAGCGTGGTGGACGCACTAGTGGACAAACTGGGCAAGCTTTCATACCCTCTCCTGTCCCTTAGTCCGCCTTCCTTCCCTCCTTCTCCCTTGTCCCCCTCCTGTCAGATCCTGCGGCGCAACCGCAGTCTGGTGGACGCACTAGTGGATAAGTTTGCATACCCTCTCCTGTCCCGTATCCCCTATTCCTTTTCTCCTCTCCTCTTCCTTCACTTTCAACTCAGATCCTGCGCCGAAACCGCAGTCTGGTGGACGCACTAGTGGAGAAGCTGATGGAGGAGAAGGCGATGGGCGGCGAGGAGTTTGCCAGCCTGGCGCGGCAGTACGGGTCGTTTGACACGCCGCCGCCCTCCCCGGTGGAGATGCGGGACCGCCAGCTGGCACGCTTCCGAGAGGCCATGATGGCCGGCCACAAGGACCGGGCGGCTCAAGTGCTGCTGGCTGACCCTGTTGCTGTGGAGTGATGTGGCAGCCGTCTGAAACCATGTTGCTTCAGAGTGATTGCTGCTGAAGTGAGTGTTGAACAAGATGGGCGATCATAGCCTCTCGAAATTCCAGCAGGGAGCTGGAGAGTGTCATGCAGTGAGCCTCCTGCAGGCTGACTTAGGGGCCATGGAGTGATGGTGGTGCAGTTGCTAGAGACGACGTTGTGGTCGAGTGAAGTGGCCGTCAGTTGATTGGAGAGTTATACTACTGGTTGTGTTCTCTCAGAGATACGGGTAATAGAATCTTACACTGCTACATAAATCGATACCATATACTATAGAGCCCTGGAAATCACAGTTGAAGCCCCTTTTCTACTTTCAGCAAATATGCATTTTCATCATGCAGACTGTACTCCTTCAACAGCTGCTTATTCACGCTATGCATCTTCTCCCTCACTGTCTTGGACAGTTTCCTTGTTTCACTTCCATCTTTCTTGCCCCTCACATGCACCAACGGAGCATCTCTCAACTTCACCCCTTTCCTCTCCCAGTAAAACGTTTGACTGATAATGCAATACAACGCCAATGACGGGTAGTGGTGTTTCAAGGTTGCCACGCTCTGTGCATCAGACTCCTCTTCACTTGGAAAGAAGAGGGCTTGCAGGTGTGGGGCCTTGATGGAAGGAGGCATCACCACTTTGTCTGGGTCAGGTTGATCAGCATTTGCAGACCCATCGAAATATTCTTGGCCATCCAGCTTGTTCATCCAATACACGTCCTCCACGGAAGTTTCCCCTTCAGAATCAATCTCCCAATAATCATCATCCGGATCCCTGTGCTGCGCAACAATCCCAAGGCTGCGCAGGCTACTCCACTCCACATTCATTGTAGTGAAAGGGACACCATGCTCTATTATAAGCACCTCCACTGTAGGCGCAACTGTGCGGAGCCAGCCCATCCAAGAGAGCTCTGAGCTGGCACTAGAAAGGAGATGCCGACGTGAAGGTGGTTTAAAGAAAAAGTTCCCAAAGAAATGGTTCTCCACGTATCTTGCAGGCGCATTCAAGTAGATAACCTTGGCAGATGTGAAGCAGTTGAGGTAGGCGCAGAGTCCGGATTGAGCATAAAGAATGAGCTGATGAAGAGCGAGAGGGATGTCTGACTGACAGGTGAGCTCGACCAAGTCAGCCGTGACAATGAGGGTCGTGAGGGAGGTTGGAAGGTTGAGAGTCAGTTTGAGTGTGCTGTCCAGGAAGAGGAAGCGGAGGGTGCGCACATTGGAGAAACTGAAACAGTGGCTGAAGGTGCCAACCTTGTAGCGGGAGACCTCGTAGAGCGTAAATTCCGTAAGCAGTGGCGTGATGGCGTCCAGAAACTCATACTCCAAAGCAATGGGATTCATGTAAGCGAGGGTAAGAATGCGCAGCGACTGCATCCACGCTGCATTCACACAACTCTCGTTCAAATTCCACCTGCCCCGACCCAGCTTCAGCTGTTGCAACTGCGAGCAGTCTTTCAGGAAGCCAAGCGTGAAACCCTCAAGATGCTGCAATCTGTACCCCGAAATCTGGACATGTAGCTCCAGCTCCAAGCATGTGAGGGAGGTGCTGGAGCGTGCGATGAGGGGTCCCAGGTTGCGCAGGTGCTGTGGCCTCGTGATGCGGAGGTTGAGGGAGTGGAGCCCGCCGTGATGGAGAAAGAAGCGGACGTTCTCGATCCACTGCTGCGGGTGCTGATGGCTGCAGATGAGAGAGATCGGCTGACTCTCCTGCAGTGGCATAACACCAGGCCTCGTCAATGGGTTCTGGATGGTGACAACAGCTGACAATTACAGCGCGTTTACAAAGCATGGCTACAAAAAAAGAGTGTTGAAGTAAACGGATTCAAAATGCCGTTGGGACAATGAGAGGACGTGACTCACGAAGAAGGAAAGGACGTGCTGGAGAAGACTCTTGCTGGCTAGCGCACAGCACAGCAGCGGCCAGGACGCGCCGTACTTGTCCGCATCTCTCCTGTGCCGCGCGCTACGCGTGCAGTCGGGACCAAGAAGCATTTGTAGATCCGCATCGCTCAGCTGCAGTCCAGCGTGCTGCATCTGCAAGGCGCGATCCTTTGCGATGACTGCAGGGTCGTCCGCCTCGGATGGTGGCAGCAGCAGGCGACGGAATATGTGGCGCCAGAGGGGAGCTGGCAGCATGTCCACTGCATCTGATTCTGAGGTGCGGGTTCAAGGGCGGCGACAATAAGGGGACGGATTTGACGAGCGGATTACAGGTGTGTTGTTGAATTCACTCAACGAGAAAAGGACGAATGATTTAGAATGAAACCAACAACCACGAGCGTTAGCAGTGTCATGTCGAGCCTCGCAAGCATCAACGGAACCTTTAGAAATACTTAGGGAAATTCGTTCAAGCAAATGGCATTAGGAGTCCGTAAAGAAACTGAAACGAGGAAATTCGTTCAAGCAAATGGCATTAGGAGTCCGTAAAGAAACTGAAACGAGTCTGACAAGTGTCATCTATTAGTCATGATAGATGCGGACCTGATTTGTCCATGGTCTGAGCCAGGATTACTACTTCGACGACGAGAGCGAGTGAGAGCACAACGAGACGAGTGGAAGAAAATGAGTCGCCGCGCAACTCGTCGATAGCGACTGAAAGAGGAGAACCGGTACATAGTAGTGACACCCATTGCTGCGAAGCAAAGCGCGTTGTGAATTGGCCAGACGCCCTACCTCGAGGACAACGCAAGGCATTTCGTTCGAGGTGAAGACGGGACCGCCATGGCTAAGAGAAAACGCATTCCCGTTAGAGTCATCATGTGGTACAAATGCACAGTGAAAATGAGAAGTGATGAAAGAACTTAAGTAGAATATGGTACAAATGCACAGTGAAAATGAGAAGTGATGAAAGAACTTAAGTAGAATACATACTTATATTTGGTGTACATTAGGTCAACCTTGGGAAAAAAATCAAAAACCTGGAACAAATAAGAACAAAACAAAATAAAATTACAGACTAACTGAACTAGAGTGTGAGATGCTACAGCACCGTGCGCGAGCGTAAGGCCAGTGCTGTAAAATATATGCAACTTGCGCGCTTTTTTCCCAATTTGACAGCTGCATTATTCAATAGGAGCATCTAGCATACACAGCCGCCACACGCCACAACGCCCCATCCACTCTCCTACAGGTACTGCATGGGTCACCCACTACGTTGTCAAGATAAGAACGTACTTAGATACTAGGGTTTAACTAGGGCCTAGTCTTAGGAGCCTAGGCCCAACGAGGATCGAGGGAGTTTGTACAAGGATGAGGAGAATGGAGTGGAGTTCACTATAGCACACACGGTACATATAGCAATCTAACAAAGAAGGTGCACCACCAACAGTTCATAATGATGACTACAGTAACTACAGCAAGCAGGATATTATATAACTTTGACACACCCCCTTAGCCTGCTTGCGGTAGGAACTTGTGCAGTCAGCACCCCCTGAAGGAGTGCACCGAGGACAGAAGATGAGGAGAGGAGGTGGGGGGCCAGTGCCGGCGGACCCGCTTAAGAACCCTTTTTACGAAGGGGAGGTGAGAGAGGAAAGGGAGAGGAGGTGGGCTAGGTGGGCATGAGCGCGCACGCTCATAGCGATCCCCCCTCGTTAATAACCCCCAAGTCCCGATGAGGAGAGGAGGTGGGCTAGGTGGGCATGAGCGCGCACGCTCAATGCGATCCCCCCCCGTTAATAACCTCCAAGTCCTCACCCCCCTTTTCAGTCAACCCCTTTAGCCTCACCAACGGGACGCACGAACGAAGACGGTCAGCAACGCTTGAGATGAGGCACGAGCGGACACGGGTAGCACGGGAGCACGGAAGCACGGGAGCACGGAAGCACGGGGCAGCATGGGATGAGGCACGAACGGGCACGGGTAGCACGGACAGATACATGAGCCAAACGAACGAACACGGGCAGAACAAACAAACACAGGCAGAACGAACGAACACAAGCAGAACGAACAAACAAAGGCAGAACGAACGAACACAAGCAGAACGAACAAACAAAGGCAGAACGAACGAACACGAGCAGAACGAACAAACACGGAGCAGCAAGAAATGGCACATACGGCACAAGAGGCACAAGACCGCGGATGAGAGGAGGAGGAGGCGGCTGATGCTGCAGCTGGACTTGAACCTCCCCCCCACAGTAGCAGCAGCGGCAGAGAGAGAGAGAAGAGGAGGAGCAATAGCGGTAGGAGCTGCAGCTGGAATGATGGCTGCTCACACCCGCCACCCCCACATCCCCCCCATCCCCTCCCCCCTCTACGGAAGCAGCGGAAGGGAGGGCGGGGGGGTGGGGCGGCGGTAGCTGCTGTTTTCGCTGGCGGAGGCGCAGGCAGTGGCGCAGGCGCTCGCGCTCGCGCTTGTCACTAGCGTCCGTGCGGGCGCTGGCGCTTGCGCTCGCGCTTGTCGCTGGCGTCCGCGCGGGCGCTGGCGCTTGCGCTCCGCGCTGGCGCAGGCGCTGGCGCTCGCGCTTGTCGTCCGCACAGACGCTGGCGCTCGTCGACAGCGTCCGCGCTGGCGCTTGCGTTCCGCGCTGTGGCTGGTGGCAGTCGCAGGTGCTGGCGCTGGCGCGGATCGACGGGCAGGGCGACAGGCGCGACGGACGGGCAAGGCGCACGGGGGGCCGCGATGGACGGGCAGAGCGCACGGGGCACGACGGACGGGCAGGAAAGCGCAATTTCGCCAGCGAGGGTGCGACGAGGCGAGCGTAGCGCGACGGGCCAGCGAGGCGCTCACCATGGGTAAAGAAAGAAGACTTAAACCCGAGGAACGGGTGGCTCTGATAACATGTCAAGATAAGAACGTACTTAGATACTAGGGTTTAACTAGGGCCTAGTCTTAGGAGCCTAGGCCCAACGAGGATCGAGGGAGTTTGTACAAGGATGAGGAGAATGGAGTGGAGTTCACTATAGCACACACGGTACATATAGCAATCTAACAAAGAAGGTGCACCACCAACAGTTCATAATGATGACTACAGTAACTACAGCAAGCAGGATATTATATAACTTTGACATACGTCAACAAGGTCTGCCGAGATGGAACACGTCAGTTAATGGTGGAAGGAACCGAGACAAGCAGAGTTGATGTGTTGGTAAGAGATTTTAGAATGGGGAGATTCTTCGAGGGTGATGTAATAACTCAGGGAGGTAAAGGGATGTGATTAATGTCAACCTCGTTCTCTGGTCCACAAATGTGTGCAGCTGGCTGCTTTTCGTGGTCGACACCAACCGATAGGAGATTCTATCGAAGTGCGATGAAGCGTTCGGTCGACGAGATTAACTCGTCAACATCAGCGGGATCTTCGTGTCGACGACAACGTAAGCTGACGAGGCGATGGCCGGCAAAATAAAGTCGGCATGCGGCGTCAAATCCTTGCGCTTGACTCAAGCAATCGTCGGGGGGAGGGGTGGGAAGGCGCTGACTGAATTAACGCGGTCAGCAGCGTCAGCTGAGCGGCGTCTTTCTGGTCGACAGAATCCAGAATGTGCTTGAGTGTCGCCCGAGGAAGCTTCGGCAAAAGTCAACTTGCAGAAATGGCATAGCATGCTTTACAACATAGTACCTGCGCAATGTGCATCACGTGTACGACGCGTACACAACCGTCTGCTATGTAGACTTGGACCTTCGGTAGGTGATGAAGTATGCGCACATGCTCACATACGACTGCAATGCTGGCAGGTCGCCTTGGTGTAGCAATGGAAAGCCGCATTGTTGTAGCGCTGGTAAGCCGCTGTGCTAGGTTGCTAGGTGTGTTGCAATTCCTTCGTTGCTATATCAACTTTGCCATGCCATTGTATGCTAGTGAAAAACCTGTCAATTTCACCCATGAACACAACAAGCAGCGCGAACTTACGCAACACTATGACCACCCCATAAAACCGGTCAGCCACCCACACAGTCTTCTCTCATTGCAGAGTGAATCTCTGCAGGAGTAGCATGGTTCGTGGCTCTGTGTCTATATTGGGAGCTAATATAGTGAAGCGGCTCCCGCTGTCTGTCTTTGTCAGTGGTTGCCCAACTTACCAAGAATTGGAATTGCCCATTCTCTGCTATGTGATTATATAGCAGGGGGTTGTGGCAGTAGGGTCTTATAGGCGTATATCAGAGAGCATGTAGGTAAGAAAGCAATGAGGTTGCATTAACACACACAGCAGTGGGCTTGATCTAATGCCGTAGTGTGGACCATGGAAATGGTGGTGTGTGATGCTACAAGATGGTGCATAAGATACACGAAACAAAGGACGTGTGAGTTGCGATGAGTTCTGAAATACAGGAAGAGCAAGTACGAACAGGGAATTGATGATGTGTGATTTGATAGAGCAGTTTGAAGTTGCGATCATACACAATTATTTGATTACGGGAAGGGCATATGGATTTTGTGGCATCAGATGGTTTTGGCTGCCCCCTCCTGCACCTACCCTTTCTCCTCAGTCACCCTCATGCACTCTCTCATCTCATTGCTCGTGCACACTCTCTATCCCTCCGTCATTTTGTTCCTGCACACGTCTTTGCCTATTTTGAAGCCAGCTGCTTGAGCCATCAGAGTTCAAGGCCTTAAGGTCTTACTTCTTGCGCGGCTCATTTCCTCGGCCTCCGCTGCCGTTTTCTTAGAACTTGGTCCTTTTCCTTGTCGCAGTCAAAAGACTTCAATTTCTTCTTCCCTTTTCCTCGTCAATTCGCCGCCTTCAGTGCATGTGCCTTGGCGCCAGAGTTCTTCTGGTCCTTGGACAGGTCCGCCTTGAGCTTTGTTATTGTAGGGGCCGGCTTACAATCCTGCGATCCCATCGACATGCTACTTTGAGCATTTTTTTCTACGCTCGCTCTAATCTCCTTGCGCATCGTCTCCCCGTATTTTCTAGTAGCTCGTTGAACAAGATCGTCAATTGCCGGGTCCGTCCCCAGGTGCTCCTTCTCTTCGGCAGTAATTGGTTTCTTCAAATGTTGAAGGGATGACCGACTAGGCGGAGGGATAGAGAGTGTGCACGAGTGATGAGATGAGAGAGTGCATGAGGGCGGCTGAGGAGGAAGGGTAGGCGCAGGGGGGACCAACCAAAACCATTCGATGCGATATAATCCATGTGCCCTTCCCATAACCAATTATTTGTGTATGATCGCCTCCTCATATTGCCTTTCATTTCACTCATCAACACTTTCCATGTGCTTATTCATACTTCCTCTTCCTCTACATCTAATCTCATCATGATTCACCCACCCTCTGATCTGTGCATGCACAACCTTATACCAGAACACACACCTCAGACCAAGTGTTGTGTGTGTTGGTGCAATCTCATTGCCCTCTTACCCGCATACTTTCTGATATCTAATTATAACGCCCCCAATGCCACACCCCGCTGCCACGTCAATCCATACCCAATCCCGGGTGGTGTGTGTTGTCGCCAAAATATAGGGACACACACTCTTTGCATTACTTGCACTGCAGATACCATTGCAATTTGATACTAGACACATGGTATTGTTGACATTGCCGGATTACACGCATCAACCCACCTCATTCTCTCTATGCCCTCTTTGCCCTGCCTCATTTCCTTCCCTCATGACCACTCATGCACGCCCATCAACTCCACTGCACGTACTCCCATTGCATCCCCTGCCACCACGTCTCCCCATTCCTCCCTCACACACCCACCACTCCAGCTGAGCTGCACGTACCGCACAATTAAGACTGATGCTGTGCTTCTTATATGCACAGCCATGCCCCATACTCACGTTCCACACCCATGGCCCATACTCATGTTCCCATACCCATGTTCCACACCCATGGCCCATACCCATTTTCCACACCCATGGCCCATACCCATTTTCCACACCAATAGCCCATACCCATGTTCCACACCCATGGCCCATACCCATTTTCCACACCAATATCCCATGCCCATGTTCCCCACCCATGCCCCATACCCATGTTCCACACCCATGGCCCATACCCATTTTCCACACCAACAGCCCATACCCATGTTCCACACCCATGGCCCATACCCATGTTCCACACCCATGGCCCATACCCATTTTCCACACCCATGGCCCATATCCATGTTCCATGCCTGGCCTATACTCATGTTCCACACCCATGGCCCGCACTCTTGTTCCCCGCCTGGCCCATGCCGTTGCTCTCGTCGTAGGAGCATGCGGCCACATTGAAAAGCTCGCTATTGCCCATTGTTCACCTTTTATGCTTGAAGAGATTATCGACTGTGGGAGTGATTAAAGGAGTGTGGGCGGAAGAGTGGGAGAGAGGAGGGTGTGAGACAAGGAGTGAGTGAGGAATTGTGTAAGTGGTTAAAAGATTTTGTTTGTCAGTGCGTTGAGTGTAAACCTGATCAAGATATTGACTGGGTTCCATATCAAGCCACACAAGGGTGAGTGAACTACTTTGTAGTCACCTCTGTCCTTTCTTCCCCCTTGCCTTCGTATCAAGGCCTCTTTCTCTCCGCACCTCTCATCTCTCTTCTTTGTTTCCCATTCATCAAGATCAAGTGTTCCTGATTCCTTTCTAGAGCTTTTCCCTTTCCTACCCTTTCTTTCATGGCCCATCCTCAAGCATGCCCTACCGCCTTTATATGTTTGACAGGTAGAGCTGGGGGGAAGATAAATAGGGCTGGGTGAAAGGGATGGGGGGAGACAGACAGGGGTGAGTGCGAGGGCAAGTAAGAATTGGGGAAGACAGGTAGGGCTAGGTGTGTTGGATGGGGGGAGGGAAGACGTGCAAAGAGTTAGAAACGAATAGGTGTGTTAAATGGGGGGAGGCACTGACAGGGGCAGACAACGGGAGCACAATCAACTGAAAATTCACTGCCTTGACTCCAGAACAGACAGGTAGAGCCATGAACCATGCTGCTCCCAGTCGTTGAGCATGTGCCTCCACTTACAGACCCACTCTGTGCTAACTAGAGTTTACCGTGCCCTCCTTATTAACTGTCCTACTGAGAGTCATCGCACCCCTCTCTGTCATCCTGACTTATTATCTCACCATAGAATCTTCCTGTTCTGGACCTCCATATCAGCTCCGATTTGCCCCTGTTCCTTCCACCATCAGATGCGGTATGCCATTTGGGCAGACCATGCTCGCCGGAATGAGGAGGAAGCATTGTGGATTTGTGTGGCGGCTGTGGATGCGGAATGCTATGAATGCGACCACATACGGTAGGCCTCGTAAGCGAACTTACAGATGCAATTAGTTATGTGGCCGTCAAATTGGGAGGTCATGACATGCATATGCGCATCGCAATATTTTATAGCGGGCTACACGCCTGCTCTCGGTGCTGCAGCATCTCACACCATAGTTTGCTCTTACAGTTTCAATTGAAAATGTATGATGATCTTTTTCATCAACAATTTCCTTCTCACTTGAAACATACCGCATCCTGACTCTAGAAGGATCAGTTACGTGATTGGGTTGCATGAGCTCTCCAGCTTGTAGCCATGGCGATCCCTTTTTCACCTCCAACCTAGACGCCTTGAGATTGTCCTCGCAAAGAGCTCTTGGCTTCGCAGCAATGGGTGTTTCTATGTACCATTTCTCCTGTTCTAGTCACTTTCGACGAGTTTCACGGCGAATAAATTTCTCCCACTTGTCTCTTTGTGCTCTCGCTCACCATCTTCGTCGAAGTAATTCTGACCAAGACAATGGACGAATCAGGTCCGCATCCAGGAGGCCTAATGAGCGACGCTTGTGAGACTCCTTCTAGCTTCGTTAACGATTATCTCTTGGCATTCGTGAAGCTTTGGGTGATGCGTCTGAGGCTCAACCCTTGAGCCGGCGACCCCTTGGCTCCACTTCTTGACACTTTTATTGTCGTGATTGTCGGTTAGCCTCTGAATTGTTCCCCTTTTTTCTCCGAGTCGATAAATTTAGCATTCCTGTAATTCTATTTTCCATTCCGTCCCTTGTCGTCTCCCCGCTTGAACCCGCACCTCAGATCCGACCGACATGCTGCCAGCTCCCCTCTGGCACCACATATTCCGCCACCTGCTGCTGCCACCATCCCAGCCGGACGACCGTGCAGTCATCGCGAAGGATCGCGATGAGCTCGCCTTGTAGGAGCATCCCGCAGCTGGAGCTCGTCTGAGCGACGCGGACCTTCCGTTGCCTCATGATCCTGACTGCACGGGTAGCGAGCGACAAAGGAGAGATGCAGACACGTACGGCGCCTCCTGGTCGCTGCTATGCTGCGCTCTCGCCAGCAAAAGCCTCCTCCACCACGTCCTCTGCTTCTCCGTCAGTCACTTTCTCTCGTGTAACGCATCGACCTAATTCTTGCCTAACAGCCTAACACCCCTACAGCACTCATCGAGAAACATCTCGATAGAAATTGTGCTTTGGGGAAGCTGATGGTTAGGTTGGAGAAGAAGGTTGGTTTGGAATTTCCAAACCTCAACCAATAGGATTGGAATTTTCCAACCCATCAAAGTGAAATCACAAAGGTTGGAATTCCAACCAATCAGAAACTGCCAGATCAATGTTACAATCTACTCAATCTAAAATGCAACCATACAATGGTGCAAAGTTGGGTTTTCCAACCCAACCTAATTGCCACATAGGCTTCTAGCCTAGGGACCATCCCTCCATGGAATTTATGGTTGGGAAAGTTCCCCAAGGGGTGTATTGAGGGGGATTGGAGCTACCAAGCTCATTCTCAACCTCCCACTCCAACTAAACAATTGGAAATGAGATTGTTTTGCCTAAGTTATTGAGAGCTCTCTCACACAACTCCCTACACAACTTCTTCAAGTGCTTCCCATCAAAGGCTTCAACAAGACTCACACCTTCAAGGCTATTTGGAGGGGTTAGCTAGAGCTACCATATTGTACCGGGATTATTATTAAAGCCTTGTAATCTCTACTATAATAGCCTTGGGTGTTACATTGGTATCTAGAGCAAGGTTCTTCCTTGGCCTTGTGTGGCCATTTGTTTTGTTTTGTTTTTTTTTTAGAGGATCCTAGATTGTGGATCTAGGATTTTATCCAAGGAGCATTGAAGATTTTGAAGAAATTTCAAGATCTACAACTTCTTCTTCAAGATCTACATCAACTCCTATAAGATCTACAAGCTCCAAGCTCCAATCTCTTCAACACACAATTGGAGCTACAAGATCTACAAGAAGTCTCTTCTTCTTCATTAACATTAAGAAGAAATTTGAAGAGATTAATTTCTCTTACCCACCTTTGGTGGAAGACTCTTGATCTACCTTTGGTAAAAGAGTGTACCTTCAGGTCTATAAGGACTTGTTGAGGATTACTCTTTTGAGTATATCTTGCTCTATCATTGAGGTGATAGAGAGATTTGGCAAACAAGTTAATCTTAAGAGATTCTGTATTGGATTATTCTATAAGAGTAATCAGATTTCTTAAATATTATTATAAGATCTGTTGAGATCTCCTCTCCTTAACCTGTTTCATGGCTTCTGGTCAAGAGATGGATGCTACTAAGGAGGTGCCCATTGTTGGCACTGAAGGAGATAATGCTGCTGCTGCTGCTGACATTGATCTCAACCTTGAGGATTTTGTGGATATGGAGATCAATGGAAGTGAAGCTGACCTTGATGCTGATGCTGAAAATGAGGATGGAGCTGGCTCTGACGAGGGTGTTTCCAATGAGACTGAGGACATCGCTGTTAAGCTCCAGACTCAAATCACGGAGCAGAACATCCTCATTGGAGAGCAGCAGTGCCGCATCCAGAACTTGGAGGCTGATTCTGTTAAGCTTCAGGCCTTGATTGAGCAGCTGACCAGGGAGGTGCAGTCAATTTCTAAGGAAAATGACACCTCCAGCTTCATTCAGGACCTGCAGAACATTCTCCAGTTCGTGCAGGATCAGCACAAGAAGCAGGAGAAAAGCATCTCTGTGCTTCAGACTCAGTACAGGGAGATCCGGCGTGGCAACCTCTATCAGCCTGCTCCTGCAGCAGAGCGAGTCGCCAATGCCGCTAACAGCCAGTCTGCACCTGCTGCTGCATCTCCTGCTGTTCCTCCTCCTTCTGGAGCACGTGCTAAGCCTCCTACTGCAACAGCAACTGCCTTTGGCTCCTGCCCTTCGGCCCTGCCTCGTTTTGTCCACGGCAAGACCGACGTCGAGACTTGGCTCTCCATTGCGGAGGACTTTATGTCCATCCACAATGTGCGTAGCGAGGCTCGCGTGGTCGCTGCAACCCTTGCCCTGGACGACACTGCGAGCAAGTTGGTGCATGCCAACAAGCGCCACACAGAGGCTAATGGCCATCCTTTTGGCTGGGAGGAGTTCAAGGCTGCCATGCTGGCGGCATTCCTGAGTCAGCCCCCGGCGCTCGAGGTGCGTAGCCGCCTGGAGAACATCCAGTGCGGTGACCAGCCTGTACGCGAGTACGCCAAGGAGTTTGAGAAAACTCTGTCGCTGCTGAAGACAGTTCTGCCTGAGAGCGAGGTCATCCACCAGTTCTTCAAGGGACTCCCTGAGCACATCAAGCGTGTGCATGTTGTGCGCGGGGAGCACCAGTGGAGGACCTACAAGGAGTGCAAGGAGCAGGTCATTGAAACGGATGTGAACTTCCGTGCGTACATGACTCACGCTCGTGCTCAGCAGCAGCCTAGTGCCGAAGGCCCTAGGGGGGGTGGTAGCAGGACTCAGGCACATAGGAGCGGTGGCTCTTGGAAGAGGCCCTATCAGCAGAAGGGGGAATCCTCTGGGACTCAGTCCAAGAGGGCCCATGCTGGGCCTGCCAAGGGTCCTCAGGATGAGGACAAGCCTCCGGCAGGCTGCCACATCTGTGGCAAGCTCGGCCTCAAGGCCTATCAGTGTCGCTGGAGGAAGTCCGTCAAGAACTCCGGCAAGCCCAACCAGGGCAAGAAGCCGGATGGTTCGGACCCTTCGGGTTCGAAGGATTTTCCGAAGTCCAACTAGGGGGTGGGTACCTAGTTGGTGAGCGAGATCGAGTAGATGAGGCTTATGTCCTTCGTGATGATGATTTGATAAAGCTAGAGAAGCTTGCATCATGCAAAATCGCTTGTTTGTATGCCTCTTCTATTAATGAAAAATCTGTTTTTAAAACTCGATCATACCCACTTGAAAACATTTCAATTGAATCCTTGAGAGATAAATTTTCAATCATCTCTTGCTCGTTCAACGAGTTGCCAGCAATCATGGATATTGTAGACCGTTGTGTCTAAGAGCACCCGCTCACGTCAGTGGGATTGGTGACTCGAATCGTGAAAGGAGAGTTGTTCCGCCGCTTTCACGAATGGCATATCCTGGCAACATGGGACAAAGGACACCATGTATGGTGGACCACATCCCAAAGGTTTGGACGTGCTCACAACAAATTTAGGGCGTACTATCGACCCCCTAAACTAGTTGTCGCTTGTCCCATTCGTCCAAGATTCCAACAGAATTTGCTATTATCTGGACGCATGAATGGGGACGAAGCAAGGATTCTCGTCGATACAGGCGCGTCGGTTTCCCTTGTTGATGAAACTTGGGTTACGACGCACAACGTCCTCATTGCAGGACCGTCTTGTCCCATTCGCTTGGGTGACGATCGTGTCATTCCAAGTAAAGGATAGATACATATCGACATGAAGGTACAGGATTACAGCGAAACAATTCGCGTGTATGTCCTGCCACTTTTGTCAGGTGTCGACCTCATCCTGGGCATGGATTGGTTGCGAGCCAACGAAGTCATTCTGGACTTCCAGTACAACATTGTCTCGTTCAACAAGAACGGAAAGGCAATCCGGTGGCAAGTCAATGATACTTTGCTCACTGACACACAGACGTCGGAACGTCCCAGCGCGCTGTGTGTGTTGGCCAACCAGTTCGGGCATTTTGTTAAATCAGCTGATACACTATTCGTGGTACAGCTTGAGAATGCCGAGGCCTCGGAGCCAGCAATTGAGGATTTCCCGCCTCAAATGAAAATACTGGCAGAGGAATTCAAAGAAGTGTTTGAAGCCATCCCCGATGGACTTCCACCTGACCGCGCAGTGGGCCACACCATCCCTGTTGAACCAGGAAAGGTTCCACCCTTTCGACCTCTGTATCGCCTCAGTCCAGCGGAGCACGAGGAGGCTAAACAACAGACTGAGGAATACCTCAGAAAAGGATGGATTGAACCCAGTGCATCCCCTTACGGAGCACCGATTTTGTTCGTTAACAAGAAGGGCGGAGGTTTACGCATGTGCGTAGATTATCGTGCCTTGAACAAGATCACGGTTAAGAATCGATACCCTCTACCACGAATAGAGGATTTGTTTGATCGGCTCCAAGGAGCTCAGTGGTTCAGCGCACTGGACTTAGCTCAAGGCTATCATCAGCTGCGCATCACTGAGGAAGATGTTCCTAAAACGGCTTTTCGAACGCCGTTTGGACATTTTCAGTGGCGTGTGTTAAGTTTTGGCTTGACAAATGCTCCCGCGTCATTTCAGCGAGCAATGAATGATGTGTTTCGGGAGGCAATCGGCCAATTCGTCCTGGTATACTTGGATGACATCCTCGTGTACTCGAAGACCGAAGAAAAACACACGCAACACCTGAAATGGGTGTTAGGAAAATTGCAAGAGCACAAGTTCGGTTGTGGAAGTGTCACTTCTACAAACGCGAGCTGGAATATCTTGGTCACTTGGTAGGCAACGATGGCCTAAAAGTTGATCCAAAGAAAGTGGCGGCAGTCCAACAGTGGCCCGTTCCACAGGACGTGGGACAGGTCAGATCATTTCTTGGACTTGCAAATTATTTTCGCCGTTTCTTGGAGAATTACTCCTCCGTAGTCGCTCCACTGACTGCCCTCACTCGCAAGGGCAATGCTTGGCAGTGGACCGATCAGTGCCAGAAGGCATTTGAGGAGGTGAAAACCATGCTAACCAATGCTCCAGTGCTGGCGTTGCCAGACCCGTCTAAGCCCTACGAGGTAGTAACTGATGCCTCGACAGTAGGGATTGGAGCAGTTCTTTTGCAAGAAGGACGCCCCGTGGCATTTGAGAGTAGAAAGCTTTCCCCGGCTGAGCAGCGCTTTACAACTTCCGAACAGGAATTGTTGGCAGTTGTGCATGCGCTACGAACATGGAGATGTTATCTCGAAGGTGTTGACTTCGTGCTCACGACCGACCACTGTCCGAATACCTATTTTGCCACTCAAGCCATACTCACCCGCCGTCAAGCTCGATGGGCTGAACTCCTCAGTGGGTTCACCTATGATATTTGATATCGAGCGGGCTCGACGAACATGGCTGATCCTCTGAGCAGACAGCCGATTGGTGCAGCAACGGGTGTTGAGGATAATGAACATGAAGCAGTGTTTGCTGCTTTCTTCAAAATCCTCGCTGATGCTCAAGTGAGCGAGATTGCCTTTGGTGGTTTTCTGAAACGCATCCGCGCAGGGTATAATATTGACCCTTGGTTTCAGAACCCACAGAATACAAACAATCTCTTGTGGGAGCATGAGCTCTGGTGGCACAAGAAAGAAATTGTTGTCCCACATGTGGGAAACCTGCGGAATGATATTCTAGCAGAGGTGCACGCCACTAAGTATGGAGGACACCTGGGTGTCAAGAAAACCCGGTGGGCTCTCAGTGATGTATACTGGTGGCCGGGATTGGGCATCGAGGTCCAGCAGTTTGTAACTCGCTGTGACACGTGTGCACGGAACAAGCCAAGCACACAGAAGCCTGGTGGTTTGCTTCAACCACTCGAGATTCCCGATGAACCTTGGGAGAGTGTATCGATGGATTTTATCACCGATCTCCCCAAGACGCGAGATGGTCATACAGCGATACTGGTGTTTGTTGATCGCTTGACCAAGATGGTGCACTTCGTGCCCACGACGACTGACGTGTCTGCGGAGGATACGGCAAAGTTGTTTGTGACGCACGTTTTCCGCTTACACGGTTTGCCTCGTGTGATGGTGTCTGACCGAGACCCGCGCTTCACAAGCCGGTTCTGGCAAGAGGTCATTAAGACACTGGGAACGAAACTCAAGATGTCGTCTGCTTTCCACCCACAAACGGATGGACAGACAGAGCGGACCAACCGCACTCTTGAGCAAATGCTTCGTTCTTTCATAAGCCCAACTCAGGACGATTGGGATGAATTGTTGCCAGTCGTAGAATTCGCTGTGAACAATTCTGTGCATGAAAGCACACATGAGAAACCCCACAACCCCTGCGACGCATGGGATTAAGAACCTCAAAGTCCCAGCCGCAAAGGACTTTATTGGAAAACAACAAGCGGCTTTGAAGTCCGCTCGCCATTGGCTGCAGCTTGCCCAACAGAGGCAAAAGTCCTATGCCGACATGAAACGCCGGGAAGTCGTCTTTGCAGTTGGCGACAAAGTGTTACTGAGTACGAAGAACATTCGTCTCAAGATCCCGGGAGCACGAAAGCTCTTCCCTCGTTGGATTGGGCCCTTCGAGGTGATAGCGCGGGTTGGTGAGGTCGCATATAGGCTTAAGTTGCCTGCGACATTGCAGATTCACAACGTCTTCCACGTGTCTCTGTTGAATAAGTACGTTGCAGAAGGCAAGTACTTACCACCACCAACCATCGCTCTCGAGAAGGAACTCTTTTATGAAGTCGAGCGTGTGCTCATGCACCGTGATCGACAACGCGGCCGCAAAACAGTTCGTGAGTTCCTAATTCAGTGGAAAGGCTATGGGCCGGAACACAACTCTTGGGAGCCTAAGGAACACTTGACCGAAGCAGCGGTTCAAGCGTATATGGAAGACCTGGCTCTACGAGCAGGCCCACAACCAGTGGACGGGGTTGACCCTGGTCGTAATGTGGTGCGCCGTGCTCGAAGCACTCGTCCTCAGAAGCACCCTAGGGCAACGGGGACGTTGCCACCTGGGGGGGGAGGAGTGTAACGCATCGACCTAATTCTTGCCTAACAGCCTAACACCCCTACAGCACTCATCGAGAAACATCTCGATAGAAATTGTGCTTTGGGGAAGCTGATGGTTAGGTTGGAGAAGAAGGTTGGTTTGGAATTTCCAAACCTCAACCAATAGGATTGGAATTTTCCAACCCATCAAAGTGAAATCACAAAGGTTGGAATTCCAACCAATCAGAAACTGCCATATCAATGTTACAATCTACTCAATCTAAAATGCAACCATACAATGGTGCAAAGTTGGGTTTTCCAACCCAACCTAATTGCCACATAGGCTTCTAGCCTAGGGACCATCCCACCATGGAATCCATGGTTGGGAAAGTCCCCCAAGGGGTGTATTGAGGGGGATTGGAGCTACCAAGCTCATTCTCAACCTCCCACTCCAACTAAACAATTGGAAATGGGATTGTTTTGCCTAAGTTATTGAGAGCTCTCTCACACAACTCCCTACACAACTTCTTCAAGTGCTTCCCATCAAAGGCTTCAACAAGACTCACACCTTCAAGGCTATTTGGAGGGGTTAGCTAAAACTACCATATTGTACCGGGATTATTATTAAAGCCTTGTAATCTCTACTATAATAGCCTTGGGTGTTACATCTCGTCTTCCTGATGCTGTCTGTTTGGTAGTTGTTGTTTCTGTGTCCCTCTTTATCTTTTTTGTTATTTTTCTTCTTTTTTTCATTCTGTGTTTCTCATGTTTCCTCTGCATGTCAATTGATGTCACCACATCCAATTTTTCATAACAATGCATTGACGAAGCCTGGTTTTATGTCATTGCAGGAGAACCAACCGATCTCGCTTATCTGCAACCATCACTACCCGCACTGGATGGACAACATCCGTTTCTTTCTCCATCACAACAGGCTTCACTCCCTTGACCTGCGCTTCACCAAGCCAGAGCACCTGCGCACCCTGGGACCCCTCATTGCATGCTCCAGCGCCTCCCTCACATCCCTGGATCTGCAGCTGCATGCCCCGATCTGGCGGAAGGATAGCGAGAGCTTCACACTGGGCTTCTTGAAAGCTTGCTCGCAGCTGCAGCAGCTGAAGCTGGGTCGGGGCGAGTGGAAACTGAACGAGAGTTGTGCGCGTGCTGCTTGGACGCAGTCGCTGCGCAGTCTGACCCTCGCGTTCGTGGATCGCATAAACTTGGAGTACGAGTTTCTGGACGCCATCACACCGCAGCTTACCGAGTTTACTCTGTACGAGGTTTCCCCCAGCAAATGCCTGAAGATTTTCAGCCACAGTTTCAGTTTCTCCAACGCGCGCATAGTCCGCTTCCTTTTTCGAGAAGTCAACCTCAAACTGACTCTCAACCTCCCGCCCTCCCTTGAGACCCTCTCTGTCATGGCTATCAGGGTCGAGCTCACCTGTCAGTCAGACAGCCCACTCGCTCTCCACCAGCTCATTCTTTACGTCCATGATGAACTCCGTGCATCTCTCCTCTGCGTCGCATCTGCCAGAGTTGTCTACTTGAATGCTCCTGCGACATACACTGAGTACCATTCCTTGGGGGAATTCTCCACCGAACCTTCACGCTGGCAGGACGCTCCTAGTGCCAGCTCAAACTTTTCCTGGATGAGCTGGCTTCGCACAGTTGCGCCTACAGTGGAGGTGCTTATCATAGAGCATGAGATCCCTATCGCTGAAATGAATGTGGAGTGGCGTAGCCTGCGCAGCCTTGGGATTGTCGTGCAGGACATGGTAGTGGTTGGGGATTGTTGGGAGATTGAAAAGGATCGGGAGACTACTGTGGAGGACATTTATCGAATGAACGTGCGGGCTGAACAGGGATTTCCCGATGGGACTCGATATGCCGACGATCCTGATCCAGACGAGCTGATGGGCCCTCCTTCCATCAACGCCCCAAACCTGCAAGCCCTCTTCTTTCCAAGTGAAGGGTGTGATGGAGAGGCCCTGGCAACCCTGAAACGCAACTACCCATCATTGGGATTATATTGCATTGTAGATAACACGTTTTACTGGGAGAGGAAACGGGCGAGGCTGATAGATGCTCCGTTGGTGCATGTGAGGGGCAAGAAAGGCGGGAGTCGGGGGGACACGAGGAAACCACCCAAGACGGTGAAGGAGAAGATGCATAGCGTGAATAAGCAGCTGATAGAGGGGTACAGTGTGCATGATGAAGAGGCATACATGCTGAAAGTGGAAAAGGGATTTGGTTTGTAATCTCCTACACATACCAGAGGTGACGTCATCACCATAGCAGCCACCAACCGGCCGGATAGTTTGGACGCTGCCCTGGTGCGGCCGGGCAGGTTCGACCGAAAGATTTACATCCCCAAGCCGAGTCTCAAGGGGCGAGCTCAGATCCTGGAGGTGAGGGGCCTTGCTGTTTGCTTGCTTATTGGTATCCATCTCTGTGTTCTGTGTGATAAGTCGATTTTTGAGTCGACTCACAAATCGACTTTATCACACACGACTTATTGGTATCCATCTCTGTGTTTTTGCCTGATTTTTGTTGCTCTCGCAAGTGATGATGGTACATATAGTGGTGGTTAAAAACCACATTCATTACAATCACGTTCCCTACAATCACACCCGCCCCTTCTTTCCATTCCCCGTGCAGGTGCACAAGTGCACAGCCGCAATCACATTGCATACAATCATACCCATTATCCCCCACAGGTGCACAGCCGCAACAAGGTGTTGGATGATGACGTGGACTTTGAGGCGGTGGCGCAGGTGACAGATGGCATGTCGGGTGCTGAGCTGGCGAACGTGGTTGACGTGGCGGCGCTCAGAGTGCTGCGGGAAAACCGATCCGAGGTGGGTGGTGATGGGTGATGGTGAGTGCTGATGAGAGGTGGTGAGTGGTGATGAGAGGTGGTGAGTGGTGATGTGCGGTGGGTGGGTGGTGATTTGCGGTGTGTCTAAACCGTTGCTGCACATCCTTCTCTTGCTCCCCCCCACCCCTTATCTCTCTTATTTTGCTCCCCACTCACATCACACAGACAACAGGCGGCCCCACTAACATCACTCAACGGTGGCGGGTACCTGTGGCTGCCCCACTCTCCAAACAACCCCATCCATGCTCCCCTTTCTCTTGCCCTCCCTCCCACTCGCCTTCCCTCTCTCCCTCCCTCCCTCACCCCCCGTCCTCCCATCAGATCACAACGGACGACATGCTACAAACCACCCATTCCCGGCCCTTACCATCTCCCGCCCATCTATTTCCCCGAACCTTTTCCCTTCCCCCTTCCCATCAGATCACGACAGACGACATGCTCCAAGCGGCCATGCTGGAGGAGGGGGCTACTTCTCGCCCGCTAACCACCCTACAAACACCTACCATCCCCGACCCTCCCCTTCAGCTCTCCCCCGCCTCTCACCCCCATATCCTTTTTCCTTCCCCCTTCCCACCCATCAGATCACGACAGACGACATGCTACAGGCCGCGATGCTGGAGGAGGGGGGGTATCCGTCGCCCCACGAGGGCAGTCCAATAGGCAGCGCCAGCTGGCACTCAACGAGGCAGCGCTGGCCGTGGTGGCGTTCAACTTCCGCAACTTCCAGAACATCCAGCTGGTGGGTTAGCGAATGTTCAGTGAACATTCAGCTGGTTGGTGAACATTCAGCTGGTGGGTTGGTGAACATTCAGCTGGTGGGTTGGTGAACATTCAGCTGGTGGGTTGGTGAACATTCAGCTGGTGGGTTGGTGAACATTCAGCTGGTGGGTTGGTGAACATTCAGCTGGTGGGTTGGTGAACATTCAGCTGGTGGGTTGGTGAACATTCAGCTGGTGGGTTGGTGAACATTCAGCTGGTGGGTTGGTGAACATTCAGCTGGTGGGTTGGTGAACATTCAGCTGGTGGGTTGGTGAACATTCAGCTGGTGGGTTGGTGAACATTCAGCTGGTGGGTTGGTGAACATTCAGCTGGTGGGTTGGTGAACATTCAGCTGGTGGGTTGGTGAACATTCAGCTGGTGGGTTGGTGAACATTCAGCTGGTGGGTTGGTGAACATTCAGCTGGTGGGTTGGTGAACATTCAGCTGGTGGGTTGGTGAACATTCAGCTCTGGTGGGTTATTGAACATTCAGCTGGTGGGTTGGTGAACATTCAGCTGGTGGGTTGGTGAACATTCAGCTGGTGGGTTGGTGAACATTCAGCTGGTGGGTTGGTGAACATTCAGCTGGTGGGTTGGTGAACATTCAGCTGGTGGGTTGGTGAACATTCAGCTGGTGGGTTGGTGAACATTCAGCTGGTGGGTTGGTGAACATTCAGCTGGTGGGTTGGTGAACATTCAGCTGGTGGGTTGGTGAACATTCAGCTGGTGGGTTGGTGAACATTCAGCTGGTGGGTTGGTGAACATTCAGCTGGTGGGTTGGTGAACATTCAGCTGGTGGGTTGGTGAACATTCAGCTGTGGGTTGGTGAACATTCAGCTGGTGGGTTGGTGAACATTCAGCTGGTGGGTTGGTGAACATTCAGCTCTGGTGGGTTATTGAACATTCAGCTGGTGGGTTGGTGAACATTCAGCTGGTGGGTTGGTGAACATTCAGCTGGTGGGTTGGTGAACATTCAGCTGGTGGGTTGGTGAACGTTCAGCTGGTGGGTTGGTGAACGTTCAGCTGGTGGGTTGGTGAACGTTCAGCTGGTGGGTTGGTGAACGTTCAGCTGGTGGGTTGGTGAACATTCAGCTGGTGGGTTGGTGAACGTTCAGCTGGTGGGTTGGTGAACGTTCAGCTGGTGGGTTGGTGAACGTTCAGCTGGTGGGTTGGTGAACGTTCAGCTGGTGGGTTGGTGAACGTTCAGCTGGTGGGTTGGTGAACATTCAGCTGGTGGGTTGGTGAACATTCAGCTGGTGGGTTGGTGAACATTCAGCTGGTGGGTTGGTGAACATTCAGCTGGTGGGTTGGTGAACATTCAGCTGGTGGGTTGGTGAACATTCAGCTGGTGGGTTGGTGAACGTTCAGCTGGTGGGTTGGTGAACGTTCAGCTGGTGGGTTTTGGAATTAAAGTTTAGGGTTTAGGGTGTCACTTTGCAAGTCAATCCCCAAGTTTCCCTCGCCTTCCCCTCCCCACGTTTTCTCCGATTTCCCTCTTTCACTTTCCCACACTCATCCAGATCACGGTGGTGCCGCGAATGACGGAGGAGAAGGGGTCAGTGCGGTACAAGCTGGTGGACACGCAGAAGATGAAGGCCAACTTCATCTCCGCCTCGTGCCTTCGCGACTTCATCACCGTTCAGCTGGCGCCCATGGTGGCCGATGAGATGTGGAACGGCGCAGAGGAGGTGAGTTGGGGTGTGTGCAGCAGTCGGGGGGTGTGAGTGAACATAACACAGCAGGTATGCCTGCGGGACTTCATCATCGTGCAGCTGGCTCCATGGTGGCTGACGAGATGTGGAACGGCGCCGAGGATGTGAGAGCTAGGAGGGTAGGAGGAGGGAAGTTGTAGTAGTGAGATTGCAGATGCATGGGGGGAAGGAGGTGGGTGAGTTGTGTGGAACATTGGATGGACGTGAGTCAGACTGCAGGCTCACGACCAAATATTCAATTATCCAATTCCTGTCTTCCTTTATCCCCTTGCGTCCTCCCACCAATCCCTATCCGCCAGACGTGCACCATCTGGGCGGACCACGCTGACGTGGCGCGCCGCACAGCGCGCCAGGTGGCGCTCAACGGTTTGTCGGCGCCAAGCGAGGAGGGAGCGCTGTACGGCATCGGTGTGGCTGCTGTAGATGCACCGTGGCGTCGGGAGGCTGTTGATGCCGACGCCTCCCGCATTCTTGAAGAGTGTCGCTCCAGGGCTGCTCAGGTGGGTGCGGTTTGTGGCTCTTGGGTGGGTGCGGGTGGAGTGGGTGCGAGTGAGGAGGGAGCGCTGTACGGCATCGGTGTGGCGGCGGTGGATGCGGCGTGGCGCCGTGAGGCCGTTGATGCCGATGCATCCCGCATTCTTGAGGAATGTCGCACCAGGGCTGCTCAGGTGGGTATGGGACCTTGCCTCGTTCCTCTCTCCATCCCTCTCCTTTTTTTCAAGTGCACCAGCCCCACACCCCCACTACTCCATTCCCAAAACCCTCCAAGTCTCCTCTTTCCCTCTCCTCAACTCAGATTCTGCGGTTCAACTCAGAGCCTGGTGGATGCACTAGTGGACAAATTAGGCGAGCTCCAAAAACCTGTTCTGTCCCCCCTTTCTTTCCTCCTCCCTTGTCCCCCTCCTGTCAGATCCTGCGGCGCAATCGCAGTCTGGTGGATGCACTAGTGGACAAGCTGATGGAGGAGAAGGCGATGGGCGGCGAGGAGTTTGCCAGCCTGGCGCGGCAGTACGGGTCGTTTGACACGCCGCCGCCCTCCCCCGTGGAGATGCGGGACCGCCAGCTGGCAAGGTTCCGAGGGGCCATGATGGCCGGCGAGAAGGAGCGGGCGGCACAAGTGCTGCTGGCCGACCCTGTTGCTGTGGAGTGAGACGGGTGCTGTTGGTGATGTTGCGGTTAAGCATGCTGTAGTCCTGGCTGTGTATTGGCCGATGCTGTTTTTGTGAGGTGACATGGCTTTGTACACTCTAGCGAATTGTGAACGGTGTTAGCGAATTGTGAGCTCTGTGCTGCAGCATGGGCCGCATGCTCGTGCACGGCGCTGCAGCATCTTACACCGTGATCTCTCGATGTATGTGTTCTAAACAAGCTAGTTATCCTAAAAATCCATTCGTTACAAGGTCTGTCCAAATGACACCTAAGTTATACTTATCTAACTTGTGCTGTTTGATCAACATACCGTATCCTGACTCTAGCGAGGTTTAATTCAGCTGAACACACCAATCGCATCGCATTGCATGAGCTTCTTTTCATAACCATGGCGGTCCCATTTTCCCGTCGAACCTAGGCCCCCTGAGTTGTCCCCGGAAGTTGAACAACTGCCCACGACGCGTTTTGTTTCGCAGCTATGGTTGTCACTACGTACAAATTCTTCTGGTCCAGTCGCTTTCGACGAGTTCCACGGGGAATCATTTCCTTCCGCTCGTCTCGTTGTGCTCACACTCACCCTCTTCGTCGAAGTGATCCTTACTAAGACAATGGACGAATCAGGTCTGCATCTAGTAGAACTAATAAATCACGTTTGTGAGACTCGTTCCAGCTTCGTTAACGAATGCCTATTGGCATTCATGAAGGTTCGGGTGATTCGACTGAGGCTCGACCCTCAAGCCGGAGACCTCTTGGCTTTATTTCTTGACAGTGCTAGCGTCGTGATTGTCGGTTCGATTTTGGATCGTCCCTCCTTTTTTCCTCGAGTCAAGAAAAAAATCCATTCCTGAAATCATCTTGTCTCCCTTGTCGTCTCCACCCTTTCAGCCCGCACCTCAGGTGTAGACATGCTGCCAGCTCCCCTCTGGCAGTACATATTCCGCCGCCTACTGCTGCCACCGTCCCAGCCGGACGACCCTGGGATCATCACAGGGGATCGCGATGAACGCGCCCTGCAGATGCAACCCGCAGCTGGAGTGCATCTGATCGATGCGGATCTACCGGCGCCTCCTGATCCTGACTGCGCGGGTGGTAGCGAGCAGCAGAGGAGAGATGCGGACAGGTACGGCGCGTCCTGGCCGCTGCTGTGCTGCGCTCTCGCCTGCAAGACCCTCCTCGAGCACGTCCTCTCCTTCTCCGTGAGTCACGTCATCTCATCTTACCCATTTTGTTATTTATATACTTTTAATTTTGTTCTAATCCAAGTTTCTCAAAATTACTAAGCATGTGAATTGTTGTCATCACAAGCCTAAGGACCTTCTTTCTCCTTTCGCAACTCATTGACAATGCCTGGTGCGTTTTGATACTGCAGGAAATTCAGCCAATCTCCCTCATCTGCAACCATCAATACCCGCACTGGATGAAAAGCCTCCGCCTCTTTCTCCATCGCGGTGGGCTCCACTCCCTTTACCTCACCTTCACCAAACCAGAGCACCTGCGCACCCTGGGACCCCTTATTGCACGCTCCAGTGCCTCTCTCACATCCCTGGGGCTGGAGCTGCTTTCCCGGCAATGTCGGCAGAATCTCAAGGGTTTCACTCTGGGCTTCCTAAAAGATTGCTCGCAGCTGCAGCAGCTGAGGCTGGGTCGGGGCAAGTGGAAACTGAATGAGAGTTGTGCGGATGCAGCGTGGATGCAGTCACTGCGGAGCCTGACCCTCGGATTCGTGGATAGCTTTGCCATGGAGTATAAGTTTATGTCAAAACATATGCATGTTGTTATCTAGGCTATATTGGGGCTAGCCTTAGGGGGTACAGAAATCATCTCGACACTTTTGCTATGTACCCCAACCATGACCTAATCACATCATCCTTGCCTAATCACATGGTATAGAGCAGGAAACTTCCTAGTAAGGCCCACCTTCTTAATTTTTTTTTTACCTGCCCGAAGCGCGCTGTCCGCCCTGCCCCACAGCTTTCGCGGCCCCCTAGTGGCCCTCTCTCACGGCCCTTCGCGGCCCCTTCGAGGCCCTTCGCGGCCCTCTGCCGCCCTTCGCGGCCCTCTGCCGCCCTTCGCGGCCCTCTGCTGCCCTTCGCGGCCCTCTGCTGCCCTTCGCGGCCCCATTCGCGGCCATCCGTAGCCGCTCTGCCGTCCCGTCGCCGCCACCCCAGCAGCAACTGCCGTCGCTTCCGCTGCCGCCGCTGCTGGTTGCCGCCACCGCTGCCGCAGCCCCCCCCCCCCCCCCCCCCCCCCCCCACCCCCCCTGCAGCAGCCGCCCCTGGCCCCTGTAGCAGCCGCACCTGCAGCAGCCGCCCCTGGCCCCTGGAGCAGCCGCCCCTGCAGCAGCCGCCCCTGGCCCCTGGAGCAGCCGCCCCTGCAGCAGCCGCCCCTGGCCACTGGAGCAGCCCGCACCTGCAGCAGCTGCCCCTGGCCCCTGGAGCAGCCCGCACCTGCAGCAGCCGCCCCTGGCCCCTGGAGCAGCCGCCCCTGCAGCAGCCGCCCCTGGCCCCTGGAGCAGCCGCCACTGCAGCAGCCGCCCCTGGCCCCTGGAGCAGCCGCCCCTGCAGCTGCCGCGGAGCCCTCGCCCTGCAGTGGTGCAGGCCCTGCCGTTGCAGCCGTCGTACGCCTACCTTTCTTGCCACTGGTGAGCACTGTCCTGCCCGTACTGCTGTTACTGCTGCTCCTGCTGCTACTGCTCTTTCTACTCCTACTGCTGCTAGTGCTGCTACTGCTGCTCCTGCTGCTACTGCTGCTACTACTGCTCGTGCTGCTCCTACGGCTCCTCCCCTTTCTACTGCTACTGCTGCTCCTGGCGTGGCCAGATGCAGCTCCAGCGCCGTCCGCGTGAGTCCCTCACGCCCCCACAGCTTCATGAGTGGTACGCTCGTTGGGGTTGCCGAGGTGGCCGTAGTGGGAGTCGTTCTGGCGTGAGTAGTTTCGGGGCTTCTTGTAGTGGCCAGGTGCAGCTGCAGCGTCGTGTGCGCGCGGTCCCTTCGCCCCCGCAGCTTCATGAGTGGTACTTTCAGCGGGGGGGGTCACGGGGTTCTGCTCGCTGCACGTACGTCATTCGCACTGGTGCTCGGACTGGCCAGCCTTGCGGGACGTTTGGTCACACAGAGTCCCGCTGCTTCGCCAGTCTGAGCGACGCCTGGCGTACAGAGTTTGGCGACGCGGCTGAGCTCCCCGACTGGGTGGAGCTGCTACGGCAGAGGGTAGATGTCTATGCTCTTGACTTTGATGCTATTCTCACTGCTATGTATGCATTGTCTACTAGTGATGCCGGTGACTGTTCCCTGAGTGTTCCGCCCGACCCGGGCGGTGCAGCTGCTGCTCTAGGTGCCAGTGAGTCTGCTGCTCCAGGTGCTAGTGAGTCTGCTGCTCTAGGTGCTGGTGAGTCTGCTCTCTCAGGTACCACGTCTGCTCTGGCGTCGCACACTTTCACCCGGGTGCTTCCCGCTCCTTCTTTCGAGACCGCACCACTCTCACGCCGCTCAGTCGGCCGGTTGCGGTCTCCCTGGCAGACCCCTCTGGGGGTCCTGTTCTTGCCCACTACTCCACTGTTCTACCGTGCCCCGCGGTCCCGTCTGGCTCCCTGTCAGGTCTTTAAATCCCCTCGTTCTCTACGAACTTGGTGGCGGGTGCTGACCTACAGGATGGGGGAGTTGACCAGTTCACCCCTGCACGTCAGCGGGTGACCCACTGCACGTGTGCGGACACGGGCCGACACTTGGCCACGTTTACTCGTCGGCCGGGGTCGAGCCTGTACACCCTGACTACCGAGTCTCCTCCGGTTGCTGTGCCTGGTCAGGTAGCTGCGTCGGGTCAGGTGTTTGCTGCAGCGTCTCGGTCTGGTCCTGAGTCTGCCCCCTGCTCGTGTCGCCTCCTGTCCCACGAGACTCTTCTCTGGCACCACCGTCTTGGTCACCCCTCCCTGCCTCGTCTCCGAGGCATGGCCTCTCGTGTCCTGGTCTCTGGTCTCCCCCGGTCTCTCCCTCCCCTCCCTCCGGGGCCTGCCCCTACCTGCGTTCCCTGCGTCGAGGGGCGGCAGCGCGCCGCTCCTCACTCCTCCGAGTTTCCGCCGACAGAGGCTCCGCTGCAGACTCTTCACATGGACGTGTGGGGCCCAGCCCGCGTCCGTGGACAGGGTCACGAGCGCTACTTCCTGCTGGTGGTTGACGACTACTCGCGTTACACCACAGTCTTCCCCTTGCGCCGCAAGGATGAGGTCACTGAGGTGTTGATCGACTGGATCCGCGCTGCTCGTCTCCAGCTCAGGAAGAGTTTCGGCTCGGACTTTCCTGTTCTGCGTCTGCACTCTGACCGAGGTGGAGAGTTTTCCTCCGGCCCTCTACGAGCCTTCTGTCGTGCGAGGGGCATCCGCCAGACGTTCACGCTTCCGGCCTCTCCGCAGCAAAATGGGATTGCTGAGCGCCGCATTGGCATGGTCATGGATGTCGCTCGCACGTCCATGATCCATGTGGCTGCTCCCCATTTTCTGTGGCCGTTTGCGGTTCAGTACGCGGCGCGTCAGATCAACCTTCAGCCCCGGGTCTCCATGCCCGACACCTCCCCCACTCTGAGGTGGACGGGGCAGGTTGGCGATGCGTCTGCGTTTCGTGTCTGGGGATCTCGGGCTTTTGTCCGAGACTTGTCTACGGACAAGCTGTCCTCCCGTGCTGTTCCCTGCGTCTTCCTTGGCTTCCCCCCTGACGCGCCTGGTTGGCAGTTTTACCACCCCACCTCGCGCCGTGTTCTGTCCTCCCAGGACGTCACGTTTGACGAGTCGGTTCCGTACTACCGTCTCTTCCCCTACCGCGCTGCCCCCCTTCCCCCCCCGCCGCTCTTCCTTACGCCAGGTCCCCCCCCGGTAGACCCCCTCCCCCCTCAGGGTCCTGCTCCTTCAGGTGTGTCTCAGGTAGACCCCCCCCCCTTGGCTGAGCCTTTGGAGGTCACTTCCGACACCTCTGGCCCACCTGAGGGGGGTGCCGCTGTTGCTGACGCCCC